GTCTGGAATAGCCCTTGGGCCAGTTGGGGTCAGCTGTCCTGGCTGTGCCCCATCCCAGCTTCTTGTGCCCCTGGCGGAGCTGGGGAAGCTGAAAAGTTCTTGACTGGTGTGAGCACAACTTAACTCACTGATGGTTTAGCTGGTGCTATCAACATTATTCTCATACTAAATCCAAAACACAGCACTATGCTATCTCCTAGGAAGAAAATGAACTCTCTCCCATCTGAAACTAGGACAGTATCCACCCCTCATTCTGTACCATGTATGTCATGCTGAGGTCCTACACTATCCAATACATCCTCATTAACCACTGCCCCCCTTCCCATCCTTTGATATAATAGAGAGATACCATTCCCTTGGTCTATGGATCACCCTTGTAAAATGTCCAGAAATGCCCACAAAATGTCAACTGAGTTCATTTAGCTGATGACTTTGGGCTCCCTCTGTTATGGTGGTCACTCAGGACAGGAGAGGTGGTGTGTTGTGTGGAGTTACTGGGCACCAAAGCCAGCTCAGGTAAGGTCACTGGTGCAAGTGCACTGCTTCTTGTAAGGCATGTCCTCCAGTGCTTCAGGTGGTTCCTTAGTGCTATAGTAATTCCTATAACATGCAGCTCAAATCCTGGGTTACAACAATTTAAAAGTAGTTCTGTTACAATCCCCACCCCTGGTCCCTTTGGACCAGACCATAGGGTTTTACATTGCAATGAACTCTTCCTCTTGCCCTGGCTTGGACTTATCCACAGACTTCAGTCCCTTAAGGCTGTACCTGCTCCAAGTGGAGCCTTATCTATGAACCACTGTCTCTCCAGGGGTGTACCTGCTGTGGCATGGACTTATCCGCAGCCACTTTGAGGTGCATCTGTTACAGTGTGGCCTTCTCCATGGGCCACAATGCCTTCAGAGATATACCCACTTTGATGGAGACTTCTCCACGGTCACAGATGCTTCGGGGTTTACTGCTCCCACATGGACTTGCTCACACGTTGCGGTCCCTTCGACTTGAGTTCATGCCGGAGTTCCAGCCTGTCCAATACAGTAGCATAGAAACAGCAGGGATGCCCTGGCCATCGGCCAGCCCAGGCCCCTCGCCATGGCTGTTATCAAAATGCTCCCAGGCACAGCAGAGTGAGATAAGCCCTACAGCAGCACAGCAAGGGGCAAAAGCAAAAAGCAGCCACTAACGAGCACTGGAGTCTTAATGCAAGGCAAGCAAGCCCCATGGCAAGCAGAGGAGCCTGCCAATTAATAGCTAAACAGCGATATTGGATATAAATTCCATCCAGCACATTCCAGTCAAACCTGTCATTATCTCAAACCCTTCAAGCCCCATGTTGGGTGATAAAAAGGACTGTTGTGGTTTAACCCTGGCTGATAACTAAGCCCCACCCAGCCCCTCACTCGCTCCCCCCACAATGGGATGGGGGAGAGAATCAGAAGAGTAAAAATGAGAAAACTCATGGGTTGAGTTAAACACAGTTTAATAGGTAAAGCAAAAACCATGCATGCAAGCAAAGCAAAGAATTCATTCCCTTCTTCCCACGGGCAGGCGGGTGCTCAGCCATCCCTAGGAAAGCAGGGCTCCATCACATGTAATGGTTTACTTGGGAAGACAAACGCCATCGCTCCAAATGTGCCCTCCTTCCTTCTTCCCCCGGTTTCTCTACTGAGCATGATGTCATATGGTCTGGAATAGCCCTTGGGCCAGTTGGGGTCAGCTGTCCTGGCTGTGCCCCCTCCCAGCTTCTTGTGCCCCTGGCGGAGCTGGGGAAGCTGAAGAGTCTTTGACTGATGTGAGCACTATGTAGCAACAACTAAACCATCAGTGTGTTATCAACATTCTTCTCATCCTAAATCCAAAATGTAGCCCCATGCTAGCTACTATGAAGAAAATTGTCCCAGTGGAAGCCCCGTAGCCCCATGCTAGCTACTATGAAGAAAATTATCCCAGTGGAAGCCTGGACAACTCTTATTTGCAGACTGACGACAGGTTTCTAGCAAACATACAAAGCGTTTGTTAGTGTTGCTATCCTTTCCCTTTGCCTGAGTCCTTCTCTTTCTTTCTTGGCCCTTGGTCCTCCTGAGCTCTTGCAGCCAGGAGACACTGAAATCACAAATGTGCAAAATACAAGAAGGATAAACATCTTAATCTCATGGATACTTCAATCTAAATGTTTTCCGAGGCCCTCCTTCAAGTGGGATTAGCCGGTAACAGTGTCTCTGAAAGGTCGTAGCCTTGGTTTGACTTGCGCCGCTGCTCAAGATGCTAAACGTGTGTGAAAGCTTCAGCAAAAGGCCTGAGATGCCATCACTGTTCTCTAAGGCTCCAGGGAGCATCTGTGTGTCCTCTTGGGCTTTGGACATTCATCTTGGAGCTCTGCCTGCCCGTATTAGCCATTGTGATAGCGTTGCCTAGAGCGCCCAAATGTGACATGTATCAACTGGCATTTTGGCTGCACTAAGTGTAAGATTTTTCCAGTGTAGGTTTATATCTGTGGTTTTTTTTTTTTTTTTCTCTCAAGTGTGTGTGTATTACTGTTATGATTTATTTTCAGGCTGTAACTTTGGTTTTATCACTTGAAATACTTTGGAAACTTGGAGGGCTTTTTTAATTAGTTGTAAGCCCTCTTTGACTTGGAGGAAAATTCCAGTGTGAAGAATGCTTTTGATTCACAAAGAAATTATGTTTTAGAGCTCCAGTAGAAAGGTTTCCTCTCATCTTTGCGTTATTTGGGCCTAACTTTCCTCCCTGAAGCTGCCATTTGCTTTGATAAAGTTGACTTTGCTTCTTGACAGCTCCAGAATGGATCAGAGTTTGTTATTGAAATGTCAAGACTATCAACACAGATATCCTTCCGCAGAAAGCTGGGTGGGAAATCATGAGCATGGGAAACTAGTCTCAAGTACTTAAACGCTTTGACAAGGGGTGGAAGAAATGAACTGGTATAAGCTTATACAAATAGTGGTTTTGATGATAAGTACTAGCAATAGTTGTGTGCCAGGAGGGGTTATTCTTGCTGCCTTCTGTCCCGAAACCTGTTAGTCCGCCTGTAACAACAACAAAAAGGTGAATGGCTCCCGGTTGTTCCTTTGCTATAAAATGTCTTTCCCTGAATTTGTTTTCAGTATCACTTATTGCTCCAGCTGCATATGCAAGTTATATGCTGTTGGGGCACTTTCAGCCACTGCTATTTTGGGGCTGGAGAGGGGTAAACTAGAGGGATTCCTTTCTCCACCACCGAGAAAACAAAAGTCACTCTGGAGATGGTGGTGAAAGCTGGAGAAGCAAGTGAGATCCTGCCACTCTTGTTCCTGTGGTTCTGCCTGCAGAATTGCAAACGTTACCCCCGCTCACGGGGAATCAAGGAAGTGAGGTGTGAGACTTGTGGGTTAGTGTCCCTTGGGGATGCGGGTCGCAGGATGCTGGATGCCTCCGTAACCTCAGGGAGGGCTGGAGGGAGCCGGGGAGGTCGGTGGAAGGCTTGGCAGAAGGCACACGCTCTTGCAGGGATGAGAGACCAAGGCTGGGGGTGGGACGGTTTTCTTGACACGGGGCCAACTGGAAAATCTCAAGTGCAGATGAAGAAAGGGGAAGGGGAATGTGATACTGTCTACCAGGGAAGGACGTAAAACCTAAGAGAACGACGTAGCCAAGTTTTGTCGCAGTGCTATAGGGTTTCAGCTGCTGCTTCGGCAATGCTGTTTTGCAGCAATTTGCTTAAAGCACTGGGAATTCTAGTTCAGGTTTGTAGAACAGGCCAAGGAGATATCTCATCTTGGCTTATGTATCTGTTTAAACTTAAAACTTCCTTGAATCTCCTAATTATTTCCCTTTAACTCGCATTCATACCCCTCCTTTCAAGTATGCTTTGCCACAGGAATCAAGGGAATAACTTAACTCGTGCTAAATTGGAGTGCAAGTGGGGTACAGTTGGTGATTCAGCCAGCTTTTAAGCTCTTTTGCCCTGACTTTCCTCTTCTGCACGTTATGCAGCGTTGAGTGGACAGCTCTGGTCCTGCTCCTCACGTATGGTGAGAAAACCTGCTGGTTATCCATAGGCAAGTTGGTTCTTTTCTTGGAAACATAGGCCTGTACTCTTGCTCCTGTACCACTCTTTATAGTTTTTGAGTTTTCATGGTATAGCTGAGCTCCTTTGTGACACTCGGAAATGAAGTTAGATCTGATTATTTTTTTTTTTTTTTTTAGCCTGTTGGCTCTAATTTTGATAGGTTCCATGAGGTTGTGCCCTGTATCATCCTTCTGTTCTCATTGGAGATCCAGGGGAGCAGGATATTAGGGGAGATTGCTGCTGCACAGATCTCAGAAAATTGTTTTTTTTTTTTTTTTTTTAAAGCCTGTTGGCTCTAATTCTGATAGGTTCCATGTAGTTGTGCCCTGTATCATCCTGGGGATGATGACTCAGTCTCCAGACCCACTGAAAGAGGTGGGATGTGGGAATTGTAAAGCAAGCCCACATACATTTTGAAGACAGATGGAAACTTCATTTCAGACTGGAGCTGCTCTGCTTGTGAGTAGCACTAATGAGCATCTGTTGATGGAGTAGGCCAGGGAGAGGGTTCTCAGTGTTCTTCATTACTGATCACGTTAGGATATGAAGGGCTAAACTGAAAAGGAAGATACAGGTTGTTACAGAATATGCCCAATGTGCTTTTTAATGTTTCTTTTCCTGTTTGTAGTATTTCCATGTCAGACAAACTCCACCTGCAATAAAGTATTATCACAAATAGATTTATTATCTGATTGTTTATACATGTCACAGGATTTCCCTGATGTATATACCCCCCAGGTCTAGGCTGGAGTCCCTGGAATTTGCTCATACCTTGTAGTGCTGAACACAGTTTCTGGCAAACGCATGTGAAAACTGAGTATAGCTGCTGAAGTGGCTTCATCCCTGGAAACATTCAAGGCCAGGTTGGATGGGGCTCTGAGCAACCTGATTTAGTTAGCAGTGTCCCTGCTCCCTGCAGGGGGGTTGGACTAGATGACCTCTAGGGGTCCCTTCCAACCCAAAACATTCTATGATTCTAAGTGCGTCTGCAAGTGAATCCAGAAGCAGAGGGATAGAATCATAGAATCACTTTGGTTGGAAAAGACCTTGGAGATCATCGAGTCCAACCTTTAACCTAACCCTGCCATCCCACCACTAACCCCTGTCCCTCAGCACCTCATCTGTCCTTCTTTTAAATACCTCCAGGGATGAGGACTCCACCACCTCCCTGGGCAGCCCATTCCAGAGCCTGACAACCCTTTTGGGGAAGAAGTTTTTCCTAATGTCTAGCCTAAACCTGCCCTGGCACAGCTTCAAACCATTCCCCCTC